AAGAACCCCCCTTTTTTTTTTCATCTCCTAAAAATGGCCTACCAAAAAAACTAGTACATTAATTTGAGAGATGGAATTGTTGCCATGTCTCTAAAGGCATAGTTTTTTTTTTTTTTTTTTTTTTTTTTTTTATTACAAAAAAAAAAAACAAATTTAAACAAAAAGGACTGCGGATCTATGCCCTTAAAAGTCTATAAAATGGACCTATGGCCTAAGAACCCCCCCTTTTTTTTCATCTCCTAAAAATGGCCTACCAAAAAAACCAGTACATTAATTTGAGAGATGGAATTGTTGCCATGTCTCTAAAGGCATAGTTTTTTTTTTTTTTTCCTATATCACAGATAATGAAACACATATTTTTTGAGTGGTAGAATAGTAGTCATGTCTTTTACAATCAAGAAATACACCTCCAAGAATCCCAATGCGCCAAAGTTACACTACTAAAAAAAAAAAAAAAAAAAAACAGAAAGAAAAAGTGGTTTTCGTAGTGTTTTTCCAATCCCTAAAAAAGTGAAAAAAAACGGATAATTTTTTTGAGTGGTGGGAAGCCCCATCTCTTATGGACAAGAAGTACACAAATCAAGATCCTCTGCTATGGTAGCTTGCAATGATTCCGGCGGTGGTATAAAAAACGATGTTGTTTTATTAAGTTTTTTTCCCCCTTTTCTCATCTCTCTTTTCCTTTCTCTCTCATCCATTACAACCTAAACCTGATAGACAAAACTAGAACAGAGGAAATGAGAGAAAGAGAAGCTGAAGAAGTAGAGTTGGCAAGGCAAGGCGAGGAGGAGCACACAAACCCTAGATCTAGGGTTTTCAAAGAGAGATTGGCGAAGAAAACACAACATAGAGCCATGGAAGGCTTCATTTCCTTCATTGCCTATAACACAAAGCCATGAACAGAGATCTGCTACTTGTATTGTTCCTATTTAATTTCAATGAACCCATTTGTTTTAAAGTTTTATGATAATAATAACCCTATACAAATCGAATTTGGAGATGATTGTTTAACTGGGAAGCTTCTTCATATATGAACAATTAACTTTAAGTTGTGGGCTTCTTGTAAACACTTTTTGCCACTATATTCTTGTGAATGTGTGAGTCTTTGTATGTGTTGTCGGTGTATTGCATAGGTGATAAAAAGATGAGAAATAGGGGCTTCGTTAACACAAAGGTTTAGGATGGAGGTAGAGGTGGGTTGAGGCAACGAGGTGATGGGTATTGAGAGGGAGGGGCTAGAAAATGGTTTGGGATGGCGAGTTCGCCGGAAAGGGGGTGATGACGAGATCTCCAACGATGTTTCTGTTCTTTCTTCTCTCAGTTTCTTCATTCTTCCTTTTTTTTTTTTTTTTTTTATTTTTTGCTTTTTTTTTTGTATTTTTCTCTTGCTCTAACTTTTGCCTGGGTTGTCCTTCCGGGTTTTCGGCCCAGCGAGCAAGTACACCCCCCTAACAACCTCCTAAGCATTGAATGTATCCACTAGTTCTTCATCTATTTGAGTAGGAGGTCTAACTACGGTACGCAAAAGTGGTATTTACGTACCATACATAAAAACAATTTTGAGCCTTTAGATAAGAATATGGGATCTTGACCATCCAAAAATAAAATGGCAACCGGTTATAACTTGTCAAGAAAAACTCTGCTATGCTTTTTCCTTTCTCTTTCATTCTCTCATTCCACAGTTCGTCTCTACCCCATATTCTCTGCATTTTCATGGCTCAATCTCCATCCCTTTGATTCAGTGTTTTTGATAGTCAATCACCCTCAGTGTTTTTGATAGTCAATCACCCTCTCTGGTTCTTCTCACTTCCCCAGTTCCCTAGCCCTAGTTTTCTCTCTTTCTCTCTCTGCTCATTCTTCTACTCTGCAGTGCAAAAATGCGTCGAAAAAGCTGTGCAATGGCTAATCGCTTTGGATTCGCCTAGAGAGCTTCTCTAATTTATCACTGCAGCAAGCTCTTTAGGTACTTGCATTTTTTGTTAATTTGTTAATCTAATTTGGGGGTTTTTTATTTTTATTTTATTGTAGTTATGTTTTGATTGAGATTTAGTTTTTTGATTGTTGAGTAAGCAGAGGACAACAAAGAAAATTCATACCCATTGATTGTAGAATGTTTGCTCTGTTAGAAAAAAAAAGAAGCTATAATTCTTTTTAAGATTTGTTCAATTATATATAGTTCACACAAAGGTTGGGTTATTCGTATGAGAGTTGAGAAGTAGAGAATTCTAGCTTGATTCCCTACTAATTTCTAGGCATTGTTGGAGGCCAACGATGCATTGATTTTTTATTTTTTGTTTTGTTTTGTTTTGTTTGTGTGTGTGTGTGTGTGTGTATGGAGATTTTAGTTAAACATTCATAAAGTTAAAATCACGAATTGATTACTTTCTCTCCTCAAGCATTATGAGTTCATAAATTTTAGTGTGTATTGTATTACGTAAGTAATTTTTTTTATAAATAAATTTCATTGCTACTTTATTTTTTTTTATTTTTTCGGAGATAAAAATTGATTTAATAGGGCACACTTTAGTGGAGTTCGAGTAATACACACCCATTTTTGGGGTGTATTTGTGGGGAGTGGTTTTGGAATATTCTTTTAATCCAAACAAGCCCTTGAGAGATCCTTGAGATGTCACCTAAAACAGAAGAAAAACTTCGGTCAGTGGTGTCGGAATTAGCTTTTCGATGAGCATGTTAGTTTATTTAGAAAGAAGTGTCCTTTGTTTCTTAGAGTACAAGTTTTTTAGAACATACTTCCTATTTCAGCCTCTGCCTCCTTTTATATAGTCATTCTCCTTCATCTCTTCTCCATGTAGCTTAGCCCTTTATCATTACTCTATCAGGGCCTATCTTCCTACTATACTTTCTAGAAAGGGACAACTGACCTTTCCGGATGGGACCCTGCCGACTTACCTGATTTACTCAGCTCAGACACACGGCACAAGTGCCTAAATTAACTCGACATACTCTTATATCCATGTATACTTACTTGACAATGACTTGTTTGAGTCCAGTGGGCTTTAGCTAAATCGGGCCTATCACAAATGAGCTTAGATGCACTTTGTTTGCCGGTTAGAGGTTTTCTTTACTCGGCTCCCACAATATTACATGCCAGGTCATGACATTTTGTGGTCTTTGATTATAAGTTAGTTTTATATATTTAAAATTAATTTAAGATATAAAAGAGGGCACAATTATCAAGAATTGAAGGTGACCTTTTTAGCAGGTAATATTTTGAATAGTAAGTTTATTCATAACAAATAGTGAGTGAATACCAAATAGTAAGCATGTTTGTAGCAAATGGTAAGTTAGCATCATTTTTTTTTTTAAATTTCAAAATTAACCAAAACTACTTTAGTTTTTAGAAAACCACCTTTTCTATTTATATCTAGTTTTTCTTTTGATTCATCCAATGGCTAGCATTTATCTTATCTAAATCTAATGGTCTATATTTTTTTATGTACCATACATGAAAACCACTTTCACGTATGGCAGAATTTTCCTTGAGTGGAAGGGAGAAGCGGCCAAAAGAGATTGCTAAAGGTGGTAGAGGAGGCAGCTAGAAGGGAATGTTAGAGTAGCCAGGAGTGTAAATGTAAGGAGGGTTGTTAGATTAGCCAAGGTGGCCAAGAAAAAGTGGTCGAAGGCTATGGGAGAATGGCCATAAGGGGTTCCCAAAGTAACAAATGGAGGGTTTTTAGAAGGGGAGAGGAGTTGCTAGAGGTGGGAAAAGAAGGGAACTATATACTTTGTTTTCAAATAAAGTGAAAACAATTTTTAAAATTTTTAAAATTTTTGGCATTTGGGCTTTCTTTTTGAAATGTGTCATCACTTTTTTAGCAATGAAAGCAATTTTACCATGTGTTTTTAATTTTCAATTTTAATTCAAAAAAAATTGAAAAATTAAAATAGGAAATAAAGAAAATGTAGCAAAGAAATTTTGTTGAACTTGTGCGGCAACGATGACAATCTTATCTTTTATCATAAGTTTTCACATCATGAATATTTTCTTTTTAAAATAGATCTCACTTTGTATATTTTGTAGGATTAGTCATTGGTAGAAGACGCTCAAGCATATTGTGTTGGACATGAATGATATTTTATACTAGTCTTTTATTGATAACTTGTTGCTAACTATAATAAATCCAGTATTTGGACATGGACGATCCTATACGAATAAATCTTATTGCTAGCTTGTGCGACAATGATGACAATCTTATCTTTGGACATGGATGATACTATTTTAATGGATCATACTGCTACCATAAAATTCAGCATATACTCTGACGAGATATCAAAGATAGATAAGCTGGTTCAATCTAATTCTCAATCTAAGCCACTAGTGCAGCATTAACAACACAATCCTAATCACCTAGTGCAGCATTAGCAGCTCAAGCAAGCTGGTCATAGGCCATAAGTGTTGTCTCAACACTTGTCTGTTATGCCTAATACATCACAAGGCTGTAGAGTTAGTACCTCAACTAGATACAGTTTTAGTTACAAGAACAGTTAGAGAGTTTGTTATAACAAACTCATTGTATAAATAAAAGTGTATCACCTATCTTGATCAATCAATGAAAGCATACCAGTTTATCACCTCGGCCAGACACAATTGTGCTGGTATGGTTAGTTAGTTACAAGAACAGTTAGAGAGTTTGTTATAACAAACTCACTGTATAAACACAAAAGTATCACCTATCTTGATCAATCAATGAAAGCATATCAGTTTATCTTTTTCTACACACTCGTATCTACTACCATTAAGAATTGTAAGAGTTGATAGACTTGTAGATCAACTTAGTCTTTTGAAATGGAGAGAGAAAGAGAGAGAGAGAGAGTGAATTGTCTTTTGATCTTCCCAAAAGTTAATTGATGTAGAAGTTGTTTTCGTTGAGATTCATAAGTAAAGCCCCAATTGGTAACAATGTATCCATGATTTTATTTTTTATTAATTTAACAATCATACTTTGAAGTAATCTTTTCTTGTATATTGAGTTATGTAGGTGTTTGCAGTGGATCAGTTGGAGCAATGCTTTTACTTATTGCTGCTTGGTGGTTGTATAAAGTAATGAAGAAAAGAATCGATAAGAAACGCAAGGAAAAGTTCTTTAAGAGGAATGGTGGTTTCTTGCTACAACAACAATTGTCATCAACTGATGGTAATGTTGAAAAAACCAAACTTTTTAATGAAAAGGAATTAGAAAAAGCCACTGATCATTACAACGAGGATCGCATCCTTGGCCATGGAGGCCAAGGTACTGTATATAAAGGAATGTTGTCAGATGGGAGAATTGTAGCAGTTAAAAAATCCAAAATTCTCGATGAAGGAAAAGTTGAGCAATTCATTAATGAGGTGGTCATTCTTTCACAAATCAACCACAGGAATATAGTTATGCTGTTGGGGTGTTGTTTGGAGACAGAAGTGCCTTTACTGGTTTATGAGTTCATCTCAAACGGAACACTTTTCCAACATATTCATGATCCAAATGTGGAGCTCCCATTGCTATGGGAGATGCGCTTGCGGATTGCCACAGAAGTAGCAGGAGCTCTTTCCTATTTGCACTATGCTGCATCCATACCCATTTATCATCGAGACATTAAGTCAACTAACATACTTCTGGATGATAAATACAAGGCAAAAGTTTCAGACTTCGGAACTTCAAGATCAGTTGCAGTTGATCAAACTCACTTAACTACACTAGTACAGGGGACCTTTGGGTACTTGGATCCAGAATACTTCCAATCCAGCCAATTTACTGAAAAAAGTGACGTTTACAGTTTTGGAGTTGTTGTTGTTGAGCTTTTAACTGGACAAAAAGCAATATCTTCTACCAGATCCCAAGAAGGTAGGAGTTTGGCTACATATTTTATTCAATCAATGGAGGAAAATCGTTTACTTGATATTCTTGATCCTAAGATTTTGAAGGATGGTCGAAGAGAAGAGATTATGGTTGTTGCTCACCTTGCAAACAGATGCCTAAACTTGAATGGAAAGAAGAGGCCTACAATGAAAGAAGTGGCCGTTGAGTTGGAAGGAATTAAAATGTCACAAGGGGGTATGACTCAACAAAATTACGTGGAAGTTGAATACAATAAAACTGATCTTACCGAGGCTTGGGAAATTGCTTCAATGTCGACAGGGACATTTTCTGGTAGTGGCACTAGCACAACTTTACCATTCGATGTCCAACCTCTACTACTTAACAAACCATGAGGTATACATTCTTCATGTCCATTAGATGGCTCATTGGACAATATACTAATGTGTCAACCTAGATGAGATATGCTAGTTATGCTTTGTTGCTGTTATCTTCTACCTGTGCATTTCTTAGTTTCTTGGATGTAACTCTATGTACTTCTTATACTCTGATTTTTACATCAATATATTTTTACATAAAAAAAAAAAAAGAAGCTTTGTTAATGTTTGTTCAAATAGGTAAGTACAAGGGTAAGTATGTATTTCTTCTACATATATAATTTTTTATGCTTTGTATTAGGTGATAATAGTAGTTGCTTGTACCATTAGTTATTTTAATAAGGAGATGGACTTTTAGTTGCATTGAAAAAGCTAGCCAAGACAAAAAAGAGTTCTTTGTTAATCCATGCAACACTCTGTTAATCAATGTTACATTAAGGGGTTGTTTAGAAATGCACTAAAAAGTGCATTTATTTGCTAAGTGAACTTTTTTTTTTTGGGGAGCTTCTATTGGGCACCACATTACTTTGAGTAACCCAATAATAAATTTGAAATTTTATTTATTTATTTATTTATTTGGACACCCTAAATAATACATATCCTAACCCTAAAAACTTTAAAACCCTATGTAAATTTACTTTGTATGCCCCATTACCCATAAACAAAAGAACAAAATCAAACCACATTTAGGGTCACTGGAATTCCAAGCGACAAAGAGAGATTCTAAGTTCATGCGAGACGAAGGTCTCCTATGCAGTAATCAAAATATATTTGTCTGAATACTTAATTCCGGACCTATAAAGTTTGTTCGGATACTTAGTGCCGAAGATAAGAAAATTGATTCCAGTTTCATATCGATAGTCAGTGCCGAACAAAATATATTTGTCCGGATACTTAATTCTGAACCTATGAAGTTTGTTCGGATACTCATTTCAGAATCAATTTGGAAAAACAATCTGCGAAAAACGGTGAACAACAATTAAAAACTTACTTTCTCTATAAATTATTGCTTGGAAACATCTTCTTTATTGTCCATTATTGATTTTAATATGAAATAAAATGCAATTATGATGGATTAAAGTAAATAGGGTTGGGTTAAGATTGGTATAAAGATGCAAAGTGATGAAAGTAGGAGGAGAAGAGAGAAAAGGAATATTGTGATCCATGATGAATGGGGTGTCCAAAATATGTACACTTTTTTCCAAAATCCAGTATTTTTTTTGATCATTTTAAATAGGGAATAAATAGTAATAAATAAATATCATTAAATTGGGGTGCCTAACCTACTTTTTGGGATACAAATAGAACCTTCCCTCTTTTTGATTTCATCACTTCTTTACTTTTCTACAAATTATTTCGCGAAAAGTCAAAAGGTATACTAAATAAGCAAAGCTATAGATAAAAAAAAAAAATACGTAATTTTAAGGGTGATAACAAATAGTTTGTACCAAAAAAAATTGTAATCTAAATAAAATTTTAAGAAGTTGAAATTTTTAATAAAATCAAAGAAAAAATTGTGCAAATTAATTTGACCACATCAAAATATTTACACGAAAAAAATAAAATAAAATTCTTAACTTTAAAGTTCTCTGAGTTGGAGGATTTGCAATGTAACCTTCACCGCTTGTAAAGCTGTGCAAAATACCACCCAATTCATTAAAATCGCCAATTCGCCCGTTAGTCAGAGGTTAGTTTGATCCGCAATTTGAAATTTATAATTCGTCTTTGAAATCGTTTTGCCCCGCTGTAGTTAATAAGTATTTTTTTTTTACATATAATGAAATATTAAAGTAAAAATCAGTGTGAGAGAGAGATTTAACATGTGAAATTTGTTACAAATTAGTATCATATATATAAAAAGTATTATACAAATTAGTGTTATATATTATATAAATACTTGATAATTGTTTAAGATTATTCTTTAATCAATTAACAAATTGAAATCACTTAAACTGTTCAAATCGGGGTTTGATTATTTGTCAATCTGCCATTCACGATTTGATTTATAATTTTACGCTTAAACCATACTATACTGCATTGTGCACACCCTATTGCAAAAACAGCCCAATCTGCTGAAATTGCCCAAATCAACACTGTAGACGTCCCCGAACGTCCCGGGAGGGAAATCCCCCGTTCTGTTCATTTGGGCTCACTACAGTTCAGGACTCTCAAATTGTCACGGTTCTTAATCTGATCTCACCATGTGCAATGTGAGATTGATAAATCATCAAAGAGTCCAAATCCGACAAATTGTTTTTGAAAACAGATTTTGTGAAAGAAGTGCCAAACATGGACTGCTTTGCCAGATACAGAGTCGCCACCTAAATGTTTTGTTTTGGGAAATTTAGGAAACCCTAACTCGTTGCCTAAGGCCACGTGTCCGTCATCACCAAAGTTGCCTCGGCTCGGGAACTTGGGTACGATTGGGGAAGGTCACTTCGTGAGCACCCCCGCTCGCCTGATCAAAGATTGGCCTCTACTAACCATGATATCGAGTTTTGAGAAACATTATGTGCTCTTATCTCGGTTATTAGCCTAGATTTACTATGTGATGCGCACTGTATACAAGTATAGACTGGATCGCCTGAATTGGAACAAAACACTTCATGTTTGTTTTTGAAAGCGGTTTGCTACTCGCAAGTACGCTTAAAATGCAGATTTTGCCACCCTCGGGTGGGCTTAGAAAACATGGTTTTACCATTATCTAGTGGGCTTAAAACTCACAGTCAATGCATTATTCCAATTCAGATAATCTAACCTTCACCCACAGGCATTCAAGCAGATATATCACATAAGCACATAGCCTCATGGTAAGCATACTATCATGGCAACACTCACACACATGCAAGGATGCTAAAGCGTAAATGACGCATGCGATATGCTAAAGCATGAAAATACTTACATCGTACTCCGTGCCAAAACAATAAACTAGTTAGCCAACATGAATGGCCCTAGTTCATGTCAAATTAACTAATGCAACACATACAGGTTGCAATTAGAGTAGGCTCGGCTAACCTAAACATGGCATGTGAAATGCAATGAATTGATGCATGTATTCAATTTGGAATTGAAGTACAAATGCAGTTAGCATGACGTACCGAGCCCGGAGCATGCAAGACAGATGTATGGGTGCACGCATGCATAGCATAAGGTATGCTAATTTAAATATGCCCTAATACTAACCATTGAAAGCAGGTAAGTAAAAAGGAGAAAGAAATGGGGGTTGGAAGACATGCACATACACACGCACACTTATTACAATACTGCCCTCTCTCGGAGGGACCGAATAAATTATACAGTCCGAATAAATAACTAACTACTCTAGCTGAAATATTACAAAACTTCTAATTAATTAACAAATTAATTTCAAAAAGAAAATGACCACAGCCCTGCCTCGGAATGCATGGATGATGCATGCTTGACTCGCCTTGCTCAGAAACTCACTGCCATGTCAAAAGCTGCCTCTGTTTACACTGCCTTGTATCTCTAAAGACTTCGCAAGTCCCAAGGAACACTCTCTGATCACAGTGGAAGGTCCCCGGCCAAGGGGGGACATCACCGACCATGGTAGAAGGGTCATCGACCATTTATTGAGATCTCGGTCACCAATGTTTGGTCGGTTGGCAATTGAGATGGTCGGTCGACCATGTGTGCCTGCAGAGTCCTGTTTTGACAGCAGCAGAGGACAGACAGTGCATGGCATGTAATTTCCAAAACAGTGTGTACATGGTCACTCTTCCTATCATGCTATGGACTCAAGGGAGTATGGCCCTCGGTCATCGGGCCACCAATCACGCATTTTGATGCATGATGGCCAAAGGCACCAAGTTTGCAAATCAATGTAAATGCATGTAACAAAGCTCATGAGTGCTACACGCCCTATCATGTTGGGATCAAGGACGTCGGCGACCGAGGGTTGAGATGTGTTTCGTCACTTTGAGAACGAACATACCTCACCCCTCATGCTTGGTTTGACACCCCAAACTAAGCATAATGCTATGCATGTATGCCATATGCAATACAAGGCAATACAACTAATGCAATGCAATACGAGCATGCTAACTCAATGCAATATAATACTACCTAAACATGCAAGCTAAACCAATGCAACATGAACATGTCAAGCATGCAACAAGGATATGAAATGCAACTAGCTAAACAACATGCAATTTACTAAGCATGCAACCATGATGTAATGGCAAGCAATGCAACAATGCACCAATGCAACTTGTCAAACATGCAAATATGTATAAGGAGGGACTTGAACTGAAATGGGAGGCCTCAGCCATGCCCCAAAACAGTGGTCAAAACATGCCAAGAAATGGGCCCAAAACAAAGGGCATTCAAGGCCATAAAAAGGAGGATTCTACTACAACCACCTCAACCACTCATGGCATGGACTATGCAACCAGAAACAGAGTTACAATGCACCAAAATAAGTCCCAAAACCTACTGTTATGGCAGCTCAAATGTCTAAACATGGTAGCATACACAATGACCATTTCAAGACACAAAAGGACACCTCTTCAAGGCATGGAAAAGATGATGAATGCAAGCATACAATCATGGATTATGGACTGAAATATGGTCTCCAATGATGCCAAATCATGCGAATAAGCTAAGTTAAGCGTGCTAGTGACCCACACACTTAAGGCTCACAAGCCAAAGTGCAAAGAGGCTATACCAAACATGGCAAACATGACTCCAAAGACCCAAGACAGACCTTAAGCATGGCAAAATAACGCTAAAACCTTCTTAGAACCAAACCAAAATCATGCTAAAAATGACATGTTACAACATAGCACATTTTACGCCAAAACATGGGATTATAAGGCAAGCATATGATGATGAAATGGACCATTAATCTGACCAAAAATAGTGATATAATATGACCAAATAACACCCAAAAACCTCTGAAATGAAGCTAAGAACAACTAGGCATGCATGCTACCCTCATGAGCCAAAAAAAATGAACAAATGAGAGACCAAGGGAGAGGGGTGTCCCTCCCCTATGCAAGACTTCAAGACCTCTTCTTCACCACTAAAAATCCACTGGATTTCAGTGGTGAGAAGGCCAATACACAAAAGGTTCCAAAGCTCGACAAAGAAGGTACAAAAGGGGCCAAACAAGGCCTAAGAGGGGGAGGTCGGCCCCAAACACAAATGAGACCTTAATGAAACATCTTAAGCATAAAAAATTAGAGTTTTTATCAGT